GGCACTTGGCGTTAACGCTAGGCATCAAAAAACGCTCCGCCCAACGCTTTGGCTAGGTATGGAAATTAGTTTAACAAAAAAAAAATAAAAAATCGAAGCAACTTCAGTAAACAACGAAATTGATTCGTTATCCAAATTTCAAAACTATTGACTTTTTCTCGCTTTGCAGACATTTAAAATAATTTTTGTATGAGATTGAAACGGAGAAGAGAACTAAAAGAACAGAATTCAATGACGGTGGCGGTTAACGAGGAATTTATGAAAGAATTGAATCGCCAAATAAAGCGGCGACCCGAGGCGGATGCTAAGTACAGACGGTTGTATCTAAAACTGGCACACAGACGGTTTTTATAGTATAGAAAAATATTTTGAACAACCAAAATAACATTATTTATTTTTGTTGTTTATTGTAAAAATAAATCAATAATTACTCCTTTCAGGCGCTATGAGGAGGACTCGGAGAATGACTGGAACTGTGGCTCGTGGTTCGAGTACTTGCTCATTGTTATACTCTCTACCATTTTGCTTGTGGGTGTATTGGTGCTTACGCTCTTCTGGATACTCTTCTATCGCGGCGGTTTCGCTTGGTCCGAAAATCCAACATTGCAATTCAATTTGCATCCCACCCTAATGGTGGCGGGCTTCATAACGCTATCGGGATTTTGTAAGTAAATGCAGTTCAAGTGATGATGATTTTGATATTCACTTTTCTGTGCTTGCAGCAATTTTGCTCTACCGCCTCTGCCGTTGTTTGAAACATATTTACGTTAAGCTAATTCATATGTTCTTTCACGCCTGCGCCATACCGTGTGTGGCTTTGGGATTTCTGTCCGTCTTTGATTCGCACAATTTGTCGGAGCCGCCTAAAGTGAATTTCTACAGCTTGCATTCGTGGTTGGGTTTTGTCACCATGGGAATGTTTGTGCTGCAATTCGTTGTCGGATTCTTCAGGTATGTACTCATACATATGGGCACAATACGCATGCGCAATTGACGCTCCCATATACATAATTATTAAACATCTGCCTATTTGGTTGTGATGAATTTTTTTGTGTTGCATTTGATTTTACTTAAATTTGTTTGCTATATTTTTTATCTGCTTGCAGTTTCTTGGTGTTGCTGTGCTGTGAGAATCGCACCTACAAGTGCCGCAGCATTATGGTTCCGATACACGCTAGCTTCGGTCTGGTGAATTTTATGTTGGCAATTGCCACTTGCATCACTGGCCTGGTGGAATATGAACGTCAGAATGCAGGCGATGCTGTTTTGAGGTAATGTGTTAATTTCTTAACTACTTACATGTAGACTATTCTGTTTAGCTACCTACTTTTTTAACAAATTATCTAATAGCTCTTAGCAAGTTATAATATATAGATACATAAAAATATTAAACTTATCTGCGGGTGACCGATGAGTTAGGACTGGAAATGTCAAACTTTGCTCACAACCCGATGACAATGCTAGGTGGCGCAGGTGTCGAAGAATATGAAATATGTGGGATATATATTACTTTAATGAAAAGGATCGGGATATTTGGAAAATCCGGGGGTCGATTTTTCTGTTTTTTTAGCAACTATAAAAGCTTGTCTTTGATTTATTCTAATTATTTGCTTCATTTTTTAATGAGTGAAGCCAGTGAGGTGATTTGAAGTGGCTTAAAATTTGCATTGATTTTTCATAATCTTTCCATACACAAGTTGTGTTTTCGTATTCTCCAGCAAAAAATATCCAGTAACTTGCCAGTAACCAAATTTCGGAGTGTAATATTACGTTCAAATTGGCCCAATTTAACTTGTTAAATGAAAAAGAGCTTTTTGGAAAAAACAATCGTCCACATTGAACATTTGGAGTTAACTTTGACGGTTGTTTGATTACCAATAAAAATTCGAAAAACATATTCAAAATCAAGTTTTTGTGTTTCAATTTGTTTTATGCGAATGCCTGCTTCATGATATTTATTCATACGTATTATTTAGATACTTCAAAATGTTTAGTTCGTATGCCCTATTTATCTCTGCGTACGACGAGACCTGATGGGAAATAACTAATTACCGCCTTGGCCTCTTTTTTGGCGGGCAGACATGTATACAATTTGATATTTTTTGATAATTTTTAATTTTTAATATTTTTTCAGAATATACATTTTTTGAACGTTGGCGTGTCAAATGAAAGCTTTTTTGGTCTGTCTGATTGGTCAGAGCAGAAAGCTTTCTGATACAGCTCTGCGCTGAACTGGTTTTTAAACGAGTTAAATGATTTAACTGGTTCAATTTTCCAACAACAATTGCATGCGATTTAACTTATTTATGAACATGTTTTGTTCATTTAACTGGTTCAAGCCCATTTAACATGTTTAGCTCGTCAATTTGAACGTAGTATAAGCCAATATTTACTCCCAATGAGTGAAATATGCAAGAAAGTACGAAAACGCAAAACCAGCAAGAAGTTGCTAGTTTTATGAACAGCTGATCAATTTGTTATTTTCCGATGCAATTTTCTTAGAAAACTAGTATTTTCCATCTTATTATATATTTAAATAGGTTTTTTTTCAATTACAGCTCTAAAAGCACCACAAACAATTATTTTGTTAATGTGAATTACATCAAGCATCATGCCATCAGCTGTTTTTCTTACTAGCAAATAGTTGCTTGTAAAAATTTATCCAGTAAAAATCCAGTAAAAGTTGCAAGTTCAGCTGTCATTTTTGCTCTCTCAATTTCCCCTCTTTAGCTAGTTTCCTGCAAGTTTTTGCGTACGAAAACGACATCCAGTAAAAAACCAGTAAAATTAGTACTGGATTTACTGGATAGTGCGTACGCGAACAGGACTACAGTTGCGTTCTCGGATGAAGTTCTTAAATCTCGTTCCTTTCTAAGAAAATACAGAGTCGTTCTGGGCAGAAAACTCAACTTGAAAATCTATGCATGTTTAAATCGTAAGCAGAAAGCCTGTATAGCATTCAATACTTCCAAGAGAATCTTCAGGAGAAAGAGGGTAGTAAAACCTAAACTTGTGATGTTAATGTAATCGCTGTCATAAGAGAAAGCTTGACTGTAAAATAAATTTATATTTAAAATTTACCTCTGTTTGCACAAAATATTCATAATTAAGAAATATTAAAATATTAATACTCAGAGACAAGCGGCCACGTGTTGATATTTTTTTTTTAATATTCGGACGTTTTTTTAACTAAATTTTTATACCTTTCATGAGCATGAAATGGTATTATAACTTTGGTCCGATGTTTGTAAGTACCAGAACAAAAAGAGATAGACCCATTAAAATGTATACTTATATGATCATAACGTCGAGCTGAGTTGATTTAGCCATTTCCGTCTGTCCGTCTCTCCGTCTGTCTGTCTGTTTGTATGCAATCTAGTCTCTCAGTTTTCGAGATATCCGGATCAAATTTGGTAGGTGGGTGTATTTTTATAATGTATTAATCATTTGTCGGAACCGGAAGAATCGGACCACTATAACATATAGCTCCCATACAACTGATTGTTCGGATATGAGATTTTTCATTATAACTTCTCCATTTATGTAGCTACGAACATGAAATTTTGCAATACTTGCACCCATTATCAACAGAATACTTACAGTGAAAATTACAAAGATCGGGTCACTATAACCTATAGCTCCCATACAACTGATTGTTCAGATATAAAATTTTGCGTTATAACTCCTCCATTTATATAGCTAGAACCATGAAATTCCGCACTGTTTTCAATAATTATCAACAGAAAACTTACAGTGAAAATTAAAAAGATCGGGTAACTATAACCTATAGCTCCCATACAACTGATTGTTCAGATATGAGATTTTTCGTTATAATTCATCCATTTATGTAGCGAGGACCATGAAATTTCGCACCATTTTCACTCATTATTAACAGAATACTTACAGTGAAAATAACAAGGATCGGATGACTACAACATATATCTTCCATACATCTGATTGTGCAGATATGGGATTTTACTGTAAATTTCTTTATTTGAACAGCTAAAACCGATAAATTTCGTAAGATATTTTATAAATAATAATACAAAGTCTACTGAGAAAATCTTCAAAATCTATGCTGTATAAGTTTTATCTCCTATAGCACTGATTGTTCAGATACCAGTTTTTGCCATATATCTCCTTTATGTTGGAAACTAAACCCAATAAATTGTGTTACCGGTTTACATACCAATCACATAGCAGTGAAAATCACTTAGATTGGTGCCATATAAAGTATATCTTCCATACCTCTGATTGTTTAGATGCGATTTTTTATATAAGTATGTAACTCCTCTATCGATGTATGCAGATGTATTCAAAAGCAGTAATCTGTCAAAGTAAAATTTGCAGATGTTCATGAAAGGTATGAAGCCTTCGGCATAGCCGAAGACAGCGCTGCTCTTACTTGTTTTAAATATTTTTGTAACAAAAGCCATATAAATAAAAGTTTCAAACTTTAATTGTACAAAATTTAACAAATTAGCATCAAAAGTTCAAAATTTTTAATCTAAATCTTTAGAAGATTTTTGGATATGCTGTTTTAAAGCCCATACACTTCGCAGGTTTCAAGCGGCTCAAAACTCGCGTCGATTAGATGCTGAAATAATTAAAAACCTCCTCCTGTAAAATATACTTTTTTTTCGATTACATATTTTTTGCGGTTAAGGCTCGTTATCATGAATTTTCTGGTGAAATATTTCCCGGCGAAAAAATTCGTTCACCGAAATGGTTCACTTTATCATGAATGTGGAACGATTTCGAGTGAACGGTATTTCACATAAAAGTTTCGATAACAGTTGTCAAAGCCAACAAAGAAAATTTCGGTAAGCAACCAGTTTTGAACGCAATTCTTTTCCGGTTTTATCTGTGCGCGTGACAGTTATTTCACCGGTGAATACGGTATACCATAGGGTGAAAATGATTTGAAGTGAACTACTTCGCTTGGTGAATATTCAACAAACAATATTGAACTGGGGGAAATCAAAAAAAGCGATGCGGATATTCTTAATATTAATATTAAGGGCTCTTGTTTTCTGAGACTTATTTTGCCGTCTAAAGGAAACTTTTGAGGATAGTTCCGATAAAAAAATAAGATTTTTGTTTTGTGAATCACCTTAATATTGATGCTTCCTTTCTTATGCAACATACTAGACTTGTTTCTTACTAATAGATACGATAGATGACTTATTCAAATACTAATTTTTAATTGCTTAAACTTTCTTTCACCTTTTCAGCTCACGCAATTCCGAAATCGAACACTACATCATGAATTCATTGGGTATCATTCTGGTTGCCATAGGTATCATTGTTTCGGTCGCTGTACGACGATCGAATGCGCCAGCCACTGCCAAAGTCTATGTCACCGAACGTTGCTGAATACATTTCCACCCATACAATTTTTCATATTTTTGAAGAGGAGCTTTTAAGGCAAAGGAATTAAAAAAAAATATATATATAAAAAATGACTAAATTAAACCAAATGTCTATTGAACAAGAAAATATAAGTAGCGGAAACATTTGTTTTTCATTTATAATGTTTATGCTTAAGTGCGCCACTAAAAGCAGAGAAGTATCAAATAAAAGTTTTGAGAAAAATCCTCTACTTACATACATACATTCTAAATTTAATTTGTACAGCAAAAACCTGCCAAATCGATATTAATCAATTGTTTCTATAAGAAAACAAAAGTAAAACATAACAGTAAATAGTAAAAGCCCACCCGAAAGCCAAATGCAAAAGCAAATACAATACAGGCGTAGATAATGCATTACAAACTCAAAAAAAAAAAAATAAAACAAATAAAAAATAAAACGGATACCAAAATGAGAGTGATGCACAAATTATTCCAAATAAATTTGTAAGTGAAAATTGAAATTTGATAAAATCTACAATTTACTAAATAACGAATAATCAACAATTAGCAATCAAAATTAAAAACGAAAATCAAATATATACCATACATATTTAAAATACATAAATACATACATGCATACATAAATTTAGAAGAAATCGTATCACTAAGTAGCCCAGTATTTGTAGTACTCATACGACGTGTAGTCCACAACGATTATCAACTTAAATAGATATTGGCAAATCTCCTTCAAAGTAAATCAAAACTTAAACGAAATTAACGTTAAATTAAATTTACAATTATCGTTAAATCAAAGATCGATAAAAATCATTAAATTGTAAGTCATAAATATAGTTGAAGTTTGTTTTGTTTTGTGTTTTTATTTTCATTTTATATAACCAACTTTATTAAAATACACAAAAGCGTGCATAAATGTATGTACGTGTACATATGTATGTAGTTAAGCGATTTACATAACGTAAACGTAAACGCATACATAGTTACATACTTATGCATTAATCTAAGCAATATATAAATGTATGAAAAGATTTCAATTGAATTTAAATAAAAAAATTAAAAAGTCCCTTTTTGTAATTTAAATGTAAAATTTGGTTTGTCAATTGCCAAGCTTATCGAATGTGGTAAGTTACTTATTGGGAAATGAATTTTTAGATTTCGGCTCAAAGTCTCAAAAGTCATTGCGCATTTGAATCCGCGTCAAGCTTGCACTCAAAGAGTTTCTGAATAATCTGCATACAAAATTTCAAACTTTGATTACAATCTACACCCACGGCCAAAATAATAGGAACACCTAATCTTAAACAGTGTTGGCTATATTTCTTTTGTTTATTTAATAGTTATTATTTTTTTACGTTCAATATCTAACAAAAATATGCAAATTTACATTTTAAACTTTCCACAAAAATTATAAAAATTTTACAAAAATTGCATCTAAAAGCTCAACATTTAGTCAGATTTTTGTTGAGTATGCAGTTTAACAGCGAATTAAATTTTAGTGTAATAAAGTTTTAATTTTAAGTAGCTAAAAAATCGCGTGGTTTTTTGAAAATTTTTCTTTTTAAATGTATTACGCATTTTTTTCATACAAAAAAACTTGTGGATCATACTTTGTATGGAAGATAATGCGAGAAAAAATTTTCAAAAATCAAGGCGATTTTCTAACAACTTAAAACTTAAATGTAAGTCATCAAATGTAATGGGCTATGAAATTCTAAAAAATCGGATTAATTAAAATGTTGGGAGTTTAGTTAAGATGCAAGATAGAGATTTAGACGAGGGCCCCAAGTGCTCGTTCGTGTGCCATTGTGCATTCGTCCTGGATGATTATTTTACAACTCTGTAGCACTTTCGCCATTTGCGGAATCTAAATATAAATACGCCACAAGAAAATTTTGCAATCCCTTTTTTGAAGGCACCGTTCGATCGATTTCAATGAAACATACACCGATTTAAAGGATATAACTTCCTCTAATCCAGAAATGTTAATCCTGATACATAGGGGGCGGTTCATCTGACATATAGTCTAAAATGTGAAAACCACTATATTTCTAAAACGAATTATGCTGGAGAACTGAAACTTAGCACAGATGCATAGATTGTAAATACCCTACTTTCGGTGAAAAATGGTAGATTTTGGAAAAGAGGGCGTGGCACCGCCCATACAAACTGAAATTCTCATATCGCTTATCTCTGGAACCGCTTATGATGACGTCCTGAAATTTGACACAGCTATTTACGCTATCAATAACGTGCTTAAGGCGAAAATCGGTAGATATTGAAAAAGGGGGCGAGGCACCTCCGATACAAGCTGAACTTCGCATTTCGTTTATCTGTGTAACAGCTTATGCTAACGTCCTGAAATTTGACACAAAAACATATGTTGTCAATAGCGTACTTACGGCGAAAAGTGGTAGATTTTGGAAAAGGGGGCGTGGCACCGCCCAAACAAACTGAAATTCTCATATCGCTTATATCTGGAGTCACTGATTATAAATAGGGTAATGGAATTGGTACACCTATGTACATCCATATATATTTAAAATGGCAAAATCATTAAATTGGGAACCATTTCCTACCAGATTTCTAAATCGCATCGAATGATTCTTATTTTGTGTAATGATTTTTGAAAGGATCAGTGTGTTTGTCTTCGGTTAGGTGGCGCAGGGATTGAGAGTAGAGATGGACATGGGACTAAATATTAAATCCCGATCCCGCCCATCCCGATATTAAATTTTTAACTTCCGAACCCGCTCATCCCGACGTTTTTCAGAATGGTACCGCGGCACCAAATCTATCTCTAAAAAAATTCACATCTTTCCAATTAATTTTAAATAAAAAAATTTTATGAAAGATCTGGCATCCTCCAATTATTTTGCTTTGCTTTGCTGTTCGCTTTCGTCTCAATAAAACATAAAAAGTTCATATTTTATACAAATTTTTTAAGGAAGATTTTCTGAATTTGCGGCATTTGCGGTTTTATCGGGAGTATCAGGAAAGAATTTTGATCCCGTTCCGTGCGTTAAATTTTTACAGACCTTCCCGATACCGCCCATCTTGAATCAGTACCGTGGGTCCCTATATTCCGTGTCCATCTCTGATTGAGAGCTATGCTTAAAATGTATGGTCAGATTTTCTTCATCTTTAGAATGACAACATAAAATTTGGTGCAATGCGGTAGCCCAATCATGTGATGCAAAAATATTGGGCTTTAGGCCCAATTTTGACAAAAACCCGTGTAAAACCGCCGCTAGAGAAGGAAATGTTATATTTTGTTTTACACCTTCGAGCTACTTAACCTTCACCGATTCTAATGAAACGAATGAGGAGTTTATGCAGATGTTGGCAATTTAGTTTTAACGTCCCAAGGGGGTCTCAGATCAATATAATCGAAAAAAGTATTTACAGTCTGGATTGGTATTTTTTTAACATAATAGTCAGTGAGGAACCGTTAGGCATCTCATCTATACATACAAATACATACAGTATCGGTCATATTTATAGCACGCCATTTCAGAGTGATATTGTGTGCCACTTATGTTTATTTATTTATTTTTAAGAATTTTCAATTAAAATATAGTTATTTCTCTAACAAAACCCATTTAAACCAAAGTTTAAAAGTTTGTAAAAAACTACAAAAAAGTGAAACAAAATTTCACCTAAATTTCAAACTTTTTTCTTGGAAGTGTTAGAATTTTTCTGAATACACAGTTTTATAGTCCAATCAATTTTAGTCTGATAATGTGCAAGTTTCAAGTGGCTAAAAGTTGCGGTTTTCTTCCATACTTATATGAGTAGTCCACTTGCAAACAGCGTTATGTTTTTATAAAAGAAAGCAATAAATTTGAATAAATTGAACTTTTTTATTACTACCTGAAAATTTGGATAAATAAGAGCCTAATAAAATTATAACATAACATAACATGTCAAAAGATAACATTAACATTTTATACGAACTAAAGCAGTTTTCTAAGTTCATCAGAAGGTGGATACTTTTGAAAGTTTATAAATAAGTATAATAGCATATATGTAATACTCCTATATTGGCAGTAAGAGCTAGTGCCGTCCGAAAACACTACAGTACAGATATATCAATAAACACGTACGAACCCAGTAGAACTTGGGATCATCGTACGATTGCTCGGTGAGTACTCCCTTGGAGTATACGACTACTCCCCATTGCTCCCTATGCTTCTGTGTATAAGCATGTAATTTTGTATACTCCCTTTAACACGGGATGTCCTAGGGGGGCGAGTAATCCCTTTTACCTCCTAAATGAGCAATCAGGGAGTTCATACAGAACTTAACTGCTCGCTTAGAAAATATCCCATTACTCTCCTAAGCGAGCAATATAGGAGAAAAAAAACCGAAAAATCTCGTTTAATGCTCCTAAATCATGGCTCAGAGAGCATTCTTTACTTGTTCGCTTAGGAGATCCCCTATTTGTCTCCTAAGCGAGTAATAAAGGAGTACAAAACCGACAAGTCTATCTTGTTGCTCCGAAATCAGGTCAAGGGGGGTACTCTTTTCTTTCTCATATAGGGAGATCTCCCGTCAAGTTCTAGTGGGAAAGAAAAGGAACACATACGTTTATAAATAAACATGTACACAACACATATACAATAACGGCACTCAAGTACACAATACATTGACAAAAACGGTACTAGACTGTCTCGCTTTGATTTCGGAATGCTTACACATTGAGAAGTTAGCTTACTGCCAATATAGAAGTATTACATATATGTATAATAGCGACTTTTGGAAGAAGAGTTAATATTAGAGGCTATTTTTTCAGAGTATAAAAAAAGATGTTCTACTGTGTTGTTAGGGGACATGAAACTACTTTAAATACAGGTACATAACCCCCCAAAAACTAAAAATCGAAAAAATTTTACATTGCGCACATTGCAAGTGGACTACTCATATGGAAGCCAATGCGACAAAAAAAATCTAAAAAATTAACGGTAATTCGTAGTCACTTGAATTTTGCACATTATCAGACTAAAATTGCAAGTGCTAGAAAACTGCGTACTCAAAAAAATTCTAACACTTCCGAGAAAAAAGTTTGAAATTTTGGTGAAAATTTGTTGCACTTTTTTGTAGTTTTCTACAAATTGTTAAACTTGGGTATATATGGGGTTTGTCTGAGAATGAACTAAATTTTAATTGAAAATTCTTAAAAATAAATAAATAAACATAAGTGGCACACAATATCACTTTGAAATGGCGTGCTATAGATATGACCGATACTGTACATATGCATATTTTTTGTAAATGAAAATTGGGGTTCCTTTCTCGGTATAATTTCGAAGGCTACTAAGAAATTTGGTTTTAAGTTTTCCTATAAATTCGCTAGAAATTTTGGTGGTGAACTTCAAATAATAAGCAAATTTTGCAAGTGTATGAAAGAATGTCCAATTTCGACATCTGGGCGATACTAGTTTCTTGAAATGTATGTAGCATGTAGGTTCCTCAGGCTGTTGAAAATTCAACGGTAGTTTCCACACGGAATAACCTTATAACAATGTGGCTGCAATACTAGAAGAAGCAATCGTAAGTTCAATTTCCGACCTCGAACAGACCGAGGGCAATAGCAATAAAATCAGGAAAGTTTTTCCAGTTCTACCAGGCGCATTTGGTCGGGAGCCGAAATATATGACCTAAATTATCTCATTCGTATTCTAGTTTGCGCTACAACTCTTCATTTATTGCGTTGCTCACCATACGATTGTGTGATAGCTACGCTGATCAGGATTCTGTGGACAAAAATTCGGACATTACTAAAACATCCAATCCGAACATGCAATTTGGTTTAGATAAAAAGACATGACATATTTTATTACTGTTTTATTTATACCAAACAAAGTTTTAATACCCTTGAGCACAAGATATATATATCTACTGCTTATATTTTTCATACTTTGCATATTTGGCAGGGTTTCCCTGGTCTCCCACTCATCAAATTTCCTGCACCTGTTCACGCTAGTTGCGCCCATTTTTAGTGCATGAGCAGCCACCAGGATATGCGCCGTAAGCAA